CCCTCTCATAAAAATGCAGCAAATGTATCGCTGATAAACATCTTTGTTTATTTAAAAGACTGTCACCTTGAGTTACTTTTTGAAAACATCAAAAAAAATTTTCTTTTTTTCATGGCAAACAACAGGCAAATTTAGCAGGCAAATAGCAACAGATGAACCATACAAATGTTTGTAAACATGCCCAGTACCATAATTGACGTTATTATAACGCGAGCGGAGACTAAACACAAAACGAAATGGGCTGTGCGAGTTTTGAAGGATTACACGCTCATTTAGATTGTACATAAGGATTTTTACCAAACTAGCTATTTTGGAAATAGGTAGGACTCGCGCCCGCGATTATGACATTTTTAAACAAAGTTTTGTTTCGTCTAATCACACATACTTCATCAGAGATTTGACAAGATTAACAAAATTGAACTACTGATATACTGAACGTTTACAATACAAACCACATTCAAATTGGGGTGTGAACAGCAAAAACACCCACATACAGGAATTGTTACGCAAGTCCAGCGTAACAAATTAAGCAATGTTTATTTTTATTTTTTATTTTGGGGGCTCTCGATTTAACGTCAAATTGCAGTTCACACCCCAATTTGAACGTGATTTGTACTGTAAACGTCCAGTATATTAGTAGTTCAGTTTTGTTCATCTTGTTAAATCCCTGATGAAGTCTGTGTGATCAGACGAAACCGGTTGGATAGTAAACTAAGTTGACAAGATTTGTTGCTGTGTGCTGCTCACTAGTTTTTAATCTTTAAAAAAAATTTAGTTAAAATTTTTTTTATAAAATTGTATTAAAAAAATTGGACATTTGATTTAAAAATTAAATATCCATCAAAATTTTTGCTCGCGCGGTTTTGGTCTAAACGCAGCACTCATAAATTCATTCATAAATAAAGTGTTCACAAATATTTTATCTCGATGAACCCAAATACAAGTTTTGCTCTTTTGACTTAAAATAAGAAAATCAGCGAAGTCTTTTCGTTTTTCATCAAGGAATTCTTTGCAACTGATACAAATGTTATTTTCTTTAATTTTTTAGGACCTAGACTCTCACTGTACCTGACTAGTGATCAGAATTTTAGAGTTTGTTCGTTATTCTCCTCTTTTCCCTAATTTTCATGATCACTCTTACACCCACAGGATCAGTCTTATACCCGAAGGAATTCTTTTTTTATGTCTTCGATAAACTACGGATCACTTTGAAAAAAAATAAATTTGGGGTGGGGGGAATTCAAGAAAAGATTCTTCCCAGATACTCACATTCGTATAAACCAACATCCAGTGGTGATGGCTGTGTTTTGTTCTGTTTAGTGCATCCTGAAATATCGTATCTTGCATGAATGGTTAGGAAATAGGTTTCTCGTCTTGAAATGCTCATTTAAGGAGACTGATTTAATTTGTCATGAGGACAATAACCTGTTTTGATTATAATGGCTCATCCTGCCGTTCTTTTAAACTCTCAATTAGTAAAATTTTCTTTTGTTTTTATCGAAAAATGATTGAATTTTGGTTCTGTTCAGCGACAATTATAACCTGAGGAAGTAATCAGTAAAACCCTGATCAAATCTTTAATTTTCTATAAAAATTAATTGCAAAATTCACAACATTTATGAACATCTGTCAAGGATGACAGAGACCACTTCCAATTGGTGAATTACAAGCATTAGTATCTTCATTAGTGATAAGAAAAGGGACATTAATCTTAACGATAAAAACTATCAGAAATTACAAATTTGACAGACTTTTGTTTCCAAATTGTCCGGAAATGCATACAATTTTACGGCGACATCTTATCTACCATTTTGCAAATCAATCAAGTAAACGCAAGGTTGTCGTTTTCCCCGGTATCGGTTGGAGGTAACAGAACGCAGCGAATAGTACCTTGCCAGACAAACCCCTTACATTTTGCGGGGAAACTCTAGAACGAAGATCCAAGGCAAAAGAAATGCACTTACATTTCGCAATTTCCTAACTTCATCAATCAAATGATGGTCAATAGATTTCTTTGTTGCTTACGGTTATTAAAACTATTTACGACACCTCACTTCTCCCCAGCACTTCCACATCCTTTCATATAAAATTTAATTTTGTCTGTAGGATTCAATACCCATTTCATTGGTGCGATGTTCGTTAATTATAAAGACTTTTAGGTCGTGTGCATCTTAAGCCTCGATTATTAGATCATAAAGCGTTTGGTTGTTTTGCAATTGAAAAGTCTCACGGAACAACATTAAAAGGTCCAAATGGGGCTAATGAAACTGTCGATATGAAAAGATTTATGTTCCGTGCGCTGCATTAATATTAAAAACTAATCATCAAAGCTCTACAAGTAGCTGATTACGAATTAAGAAGTAAAACAGTATCCTTCTCGAAAGAGGCAATGTACGGGAACAAATATGGAATGGGAGTTAAAATTCATATATGTTTAATATTAGTTTTCGAGACGTGGACGTGGTCTGTTCGTGGTCCATCGTACGGGACTGTCCATGTCGCATTCGTCAATTTTATTTCCTAGCTTTTTTATATCTGTATATTTGTATATTTTTTTAACGTCAATTCTCTTGAGTGGGCGTCTTGTATGAGTCTTAGTGTCCCATTCGCGCCTTTTGCTCTTGGGCTTTTATATCCTGTAGTTAATCTTGTTCCTTCTTATCATGTAATTATTTTCTCTCCATTTAATGCTAAATAGAGATTTGAACTTCATATATTACACTATGTAGAAGAAGAACGAAATTGTTTGTCGAGTTTTCGTCGCCAATACAGCTCCAAGTTGTTGACTTGAAAATTGAAGCCCAAATAACATAAAGTATGGTATGCAGCCCTGAAGATTTGCTTTGTTTTCTAAATGTCGTCTTAGGGTTTTCCACACTAGCGACAAAGTAATATATTTAGACAAATTTTCTGTTATCACAAGCATTTTTCAAGTGCGGATGGTTTGTCGCGACTTGACAAATTTTGGCTGAAGAGGACAAATTTTCAAACGTATACCGCCGACAAAATTTGTCTCAGTAAAATATTATGATCATGATTCCGTTGACGAGAACTCCCGCAAACAGTAGGGTGTATAAGTCGGTCTCAAAAGAACAAACGCCAAATTTCGGATGATTTAAGACCCTTACCCACCCAGTAAAAGTATTGACAAACAAATGGCAACCATTCGAACGAGAACACGATACAGCCGAGCTGCTCTTTTTTGGGGGAATACTTTTCTATACAGGCTGCGTTTTAAAACCTTAATGTAATTAATTATTAAAGGCTATCAATGCCAGCGTAAAGAGAGATGCATAAGCAACAATGGACATCACTGAACCTGCCACCCGACACCTCACCCAAGTTCCCGTATACAGGCTCGCTATCCACAATGGCATGTCCATCGTTACCAGGGCATGAAATATATATCAGTCAATGCCAGATTATTAATGTGGCTGCGTGACAAATGGTGATGGTCATAGTCACTTCGACATCAATTTCAGCTCGACGATCAAGACCTAGAGGATCATGGCAAGGCGATTCAGACATATTAATCAGCTTTGAAGGTTGCAACCTCTTTCGTGAAAAAAAGTTTCTTGTCTTGTGGAAACTACGTGATGAAACAATCCCAATCTATGTTAAATGTAACATCTCTATCACGTTGATTCAACTATGAAATAAAGCCAAAGTGATAAATTGCAATTTGAGATTTAGAGCGATTTCGATTGAATTTCGAAAAATCAAAACCAAAGTAATCACAAAGGCCAATCCGAAGGAAAGAAAATACCACTAAGAGCCAATGAGAGCTCGAAGTAGAACCAAACAAGCGGGAAAACGTGGGCGCTCAATCACAGAGCGTGCTAAAGTAAAACTGATGTAATACTGGATCAATTTTGTCACTCCATTGAAAATCTTGCTATCGCTCATAGGAGCGCGAGCTTAAAGGGGTCACTTTTAGACCGCCAAATCGTATTTTCAATGCGCAAAAAATTGTCAAGGAAACTTGCCAGGCGCTGAGGTCGATTATTTCAAATCTTAAATAAAGCCTTCAACCAGAAAGCGCAGAAACACTCGTCTAATAGTCACTTTGATAACGAATATCACTAGGACAAATTTGGCCGGAAAAGCGATCGAATTTTTAAGAAAATTACAGCTTACTTCATCCGAGCGATGAAAGTGTAAGGTGATCTGAAACCTTCACTCACAGAGCGAACTTCAAGATAATACAAGCCTATAATTAGAAAATTCATAGCACTCAGTTTCCTTAGTTTTTTTTTAACGATCTTCGTAATATTTCAAACATTTAGGGAAAAGAGACCTTTTGCTGTGTTTAAATTCCAGGTCGTGCGAATGTCCAGCACTAGCGAGATTTGTTTGAAAATATCAAAATACGAAGAAACTGATGGCTATGAACAGTTTGGTTCTAAGTTTTTGTTAACTTCCGCTCATCAGCGGCGAGCTCTTGACGTCTCAATTTGCGATCCTATTTGATAATGGTTAATTAGGTACACATTAAGTTATCTGAACAAAACAAAAAGGAAATTTGCCGAAAAAGGTAAATATTACTAACTGATTTGATTAGACGGAATATTTATAAAAAAAATCAACTTTTCAGATTTGTATTTCAAATATATCATCACTAAAAGAAATTTTGGCGTTAATAATTTATTGATTGGAACTTGACTTCGAATTTTTCACATTTGAATTTCAAAGAAAATTAAAAGCTTTCGACAGAGATCACTGGCAGCTGTCTACAACCAATTTCATTTTTTATAAAATTTAATCACTTGTTTCTTTTTTTTTAACAGCAACAAGACAATATTTCTTTGAGTGAACAGCTATTAGAATCGCAGCAAGACCTTTCATTATCGTCCGGAAAAGTTGTTGTCGCAATCGCAAATTATCTCTTCAAGAAGTTGTTCGCGATAAGAAACATTACAAACCAAGTTTCCCAAAGATTCTTATAAGAGACGTGTCATTTGGTTTGCGCTGAAAAGAGCCAAAGAGTGAAAAGAGTCAACATGAGTGTGAGTAACAGTGGGGACTCGCTTGTAAACTCCTCCAAAGCAGTGTTCTTTTGTCCACAGGATCCGATGTTTGTTCGGGACTTGGAGAACGAAGTATCCCTTCAGCTGGTAATCGCCATCACTACAATCGCTGCTCCTTTTACCACTTTTTTGAACACATTAGTCATCGTCACCATCCAGAAAACAAGAGAGTTACAGACGAACTCCAGCATTCTGATCTCTAGTTTGGCCATTACTGATCTGTTCGTGGGTGCAGTTTCAACGCCTCTGATCATCACAGTAGATGCATTAATTCTTCAAGGAACTGTATCAGAGAGCATTGTATGCAACATAAATGAAAGCGCAGCATTTGTGCTGTACATTGCTTACAGTGCTTCATATATGCATTTAATTCTAATGGGTTGGGAGAGGTATGTTGCGATTGCAACACCTATGAAGTACAACGTTTTGGTGAGAAAAGGAAGGATAAAGAGGTATTCAGGAGTAGTTTGGATAACAGTTGTCACAGCCATCGCGTTGCAAACGACATTACAAGCCATCGCTCTTCCTCATGAATTCTTATTAGTTTTACACCTCATTGAGGGTGTTTTTTGGCTCATCAGCTTTATGGCGCTGGTGTATTTTTACAGTATGGTTTATAGCAAAGCACGAAAACAGAGCCAAAGCCAAATCAGCCAAATAACTGCGAAGATCCAAAGCAGAATTGCGTTTACGGCGTTTCTGTTAACCGCTGCCGTTTTCATTTGTAGCCTTCCTATGGCCGTTTTTGTCGGTACACTGCAATTTTTGCCCATTCTTCGCGCTAATTCAGTTTTCCGATGTTTAGAAATTCCCCTTTACTTAAACTCTCTTTTAAATCCTGTCCTGTATTTTTATAGAAACAGTCGATACAGAAAAGCTGCACTTAAACTGCTAAGATTCCGAATGCCTTTGCAAAATCAGTCAGTAGCTCCTTGTGCAAGATGGCATAGAGATTTCTTTGTACCTGTAGATGGAAAATGCGTTGATGACAATGAAAGAACTCAATGTCTCTCACGGTCACAGTCTTGGGCAGCGAATATATATGGACGCTTGAGTATCATGCCTGGAATGCGAAATAAGCCAGCAATGAAGCGAAGATTTTCATGTCCACCTTTAGTAAGCCACGGAAACTTTCCTGAGTTGATCCAACCTATTACACGAACTATCACATTGCAGACTGAACTTACGCCCGAAAAACAAACTGGCAAGGAGTGATGGAAAACAAGATTAGAACTCCTACAGCTGCAGCATAGCGAGAGAAAAGTATTTCGAAGAAAAACCCTTTCTTTTATCCAAAAGCGGACGTCAGAAATTAGCTTAAGTTAAGTCTCAGAGATACAATCCAGCCTCATGAGTTCTAACGATAAAGAGAGCTCCCAGAAAAAACTATCCAGTGAAATCTAAAGTAAGTCTTAAGACTCATTATCGTACAATCTATATATATTTAATCACAACGGCTCGTGGTAACAGTAAGAAAAAGCACAGGGAGGCGATGACGAATTAAAAAAAAAAAAAGTGATGAGTTCTCTGAAGAAGTTACAGAGCGAAAGAATAGAAAACCTAATTAATCGCTAACTTTGACTCTCATTTGAAAATTGCTCTAAAAGCTGCGGGCAGTGAACCTGAAAAAGAAAGGGTAGCATTCCAGATAAACTCTGGAAACAAGTCATCTAGTGTTAAATAGCATTTGAAACTATGACTTTTTCTGGGTTATTTTTTTCAAGTTCATCAGTTGGCATTGTCATCCATACAGTTTATATTTTGAAGTAAAAACGATGGGACCTTGATAATTTTTGTTTACACTTCATTTTCATGTGGCGAAAGTACGCAACCTCTTCAAAGTACTCAAATATTTGCACTGCAGGAGATGAATGAAAATGACACTTTTCCAAATTTCAGGCTTTTGCACTTCGTAAACTACACAATATTCTATATTAAAGTTCACATGGCAACCAGGTGGACAATCAGACATGGTTTGATGCTAAATGAATATGGGAGGTAAGTTTCTAAAGAAACTGTGGTGCTGCGTCGGTGGGAGATTATAGCAGGTAATTTGGTGTAAACAACTGAGTTGAAGACGTAAATTCGCGAGTGAAGAGTGAAAAAAAATGACGTTTCGAGCATTAGCCCTTAGTCAGAGCGATTGGAGGAATTGCGGGTTGTGTGTGAGTTTATATGAGAAAGTGGAGCTCTGCTGTTGGTGGGAGTATGGTGACGAGAAAACAAGAATCAATTAGTTGAATGAAAAGCGCTCGTTTATACCGTGGGGATTAAGAGTGCCGATTTGGAAGATAAATTTATTTTCTAGTGTTTTGCGGCTTTCGGAATTGCCTAGATGTAAGGAAAGGCCGCAAACTTCCATATGTTGTTGAGAATGACTTGGAAAAACGCAAAGACAGTCATTAAAGCGGCCGACAAAAGCGGCGCAGTTGTTGTTTGGCGGGCCGACCTCTGTCAAAAAGAAGCTTTGCGGCAACTTTCTGGCACCTCCTTTTATGCTAGTAGACAAAGATCTCACTTTAATAACCAAAACATTGTCAAAAATGCAATTAATCATCTCATAGCTAAACAAGAATTGCCGGCCACTGCTAAAAATCTCACCATCACCACTCCAAGAGCTTCGTGTAATTACTTTCTACCTAAAATCCACAAACCTTACAACCCAAGTCGACCCATCGTCTCCGCCTGCAGTTGTCCCACCGAACTTATTTCCAGCTATTTCGACAAAACTATGGCACCTATCGTCAAAACTTTACCATCTTACATTAAGGACAGCCAACACGCACTTGAAATTTTCCGTGACTTTAATTTCCTTGACCAAAATATTGAATATCTTCATACTGTCATTCCCAACGATGAAGGTCTCCTGGCCCTCAGACATTTTTTCGATCATCGCACTGTTGAGGAACCTAGCTCTGAAACACTACTCCGTTTGACCGAACTAGTACTTACACTCAATTGCTTTTCATTCGGTGGTAACTAATACAAACAAACTAATGGCGTGGCCATGGGTACTAAAATGGGACCCAGCTACGCAAATCTTTTCGTTGGTTTTATCGAACATCAGTATTTTAGTCAATACCACGGCCCCCAAACCTGAACTCAACGGCCGTTACATTGACGACTGCATCGGCGCTACCTCCTCTGCCAGAGAGGAGCTCACTCAATGTATAACCGCCATCAATTCCTTTCACCCGGCTCTTAAATATCCTGGGAAATTTCCGACTCTTCTTTAGAGTCGCTTTTCTAGACATCAAGATTTCAATTGAAGGCAACGGTTTAAGCACAAGTGTTTTACTACAAACCTACAGTTTGCGGCCTTTCCTAACATCGAGGCAGTTCGGAAGGCCGCAAAACACTAAAAAAATATTTATCTTCCAAATCGGCACTTAATTCCCTCGGTATCAACGAGCGCTTTTCATTCAGCTAGTTTTTCTCGTTTTCTCGTCACCACACTCCCACCAATAGCGTAGCTCCACTTTTTGCATAACCCACAATTCCTCCAATCGCTCTCACGAGGGGCTAACGCTCGAAACGCCGGTTTTTATTACTCTTCACGGTGGCCAATTTACGTTTTCAACTCAGTTGTTAACACTGTTAAAACATGTTTTTTGTCTTGTCTCGTGACAAGACGAAAGAAATAGAGAAAGATCTTTCTCTATTTCTGTGCCAAGCTCAAAACTTACCATCTCTCTCATTCTATTTACTAATAGGACGCTATCGACATTGGTGATCTTAGCAGTATGTGAGACGCGTGTCTTACGAACTTCATAATAGACCTCGCTCACCATAGAGTCTTTGTGGCTCAATGGTAGAGCATCGATGTTCTGAGGTTCGATTCCTTGTGGGGACTCAGAATATATTTTTTTTTCCTACGCTTGTGACAAGACCAAAAATATCTTTCCCCAATAACCACATGGTTTCCTAATGAGCTTCATCGCCTGGAAAAACAAAGGTTTTTTTATACTCGTATATTTTAATTGTTGTAAATGTTTACTGGCTGAACAAATCTATCGATTACAAGAAAGAACTTTTAAAATTTAACATAGCATGCATGAGAGTAACCAAGGTAAGTTGTTTTTTTTTAAGATTTTGTTTCACGAGCTTTATAAATATTTGAATAATGATGATAAAAAAAAAGAAAACTTCAGGAAAGGCAATACGAATTCAAAAATCACATGTTTGCTTCTTGCTCCACTTTAATTCTGCAGAAAACTATCAAATAGATAATAACATTCATATCCTAAATTAGAAACGTCTGCGTGTTATCCCAATAATAAGAAGCTCTATTATTGATAGAAAAAAGGACTTCTAACTTAATGTGCCTATGACATGAACTTTTTTTTTTTCGTATTTATTTACCTTATCATATGAACAAACCAATTCCGATAGAACAAAAACTTCAAAAAATATCAAAACTCGGTTTTTTTTCTGGCCCTTTAGTCCCCTTATTTTGTCTTAATGAGTTAGACTGATAACCAGTTGCCTGGTGATGACGTGGGATACTGTGAAATCCCTCAATTGACACCAACAAATCTCTCACATCTCTTGTAATTTTGTTGCAGTCAACGTTAAAATGCTCTTAAAATAAATTCCGATAGCGATGTATACCTGCCTCAAGAAAGCTTTACCGAGACCTGTGATACATGGTACTGAAGTGGTAAAGAAGAAATGAAAGTTGCGAGTACGGTTCAGTCTAGAAAATAAAACAAATCTCCATTATGCCGCAGTCCCTAATCGTTTTGCAACCTCGTGACTTACTCCATTCCTTGAGTGATTCTGATCTGTGTTCACGCTACCAAAGCGACTAAAACTCAGTGCCTTTTTGAAAGCCACTTTGAACTGCGGATTAATAAATCCATATATAATTGGATTTACCAGGCTACCGGAGAACGCCAAGTAAACACTTGTTGTATAAAATTTTTGAGGAATATCAAACCCAAAGGTCCAAATGACGGCGATAATGGAGATTGGAGACCATGTTAACACAAAGAAACAGGCTACGGTGAAACATGTCTTTAAAACACTCACGTCAGTCATATTGGTGCGGCGAGTATCATTTGCGGAGCGGACTCCGTTTCCTTCAGCGTGAGCGTTTAAATTTCTCGTGCTTTCTCTGACAGCTTTATAGATTTTGAAGTTACAATAAAATATCATGATCGTAAGTCCGTTGACAATCACTCCCGTGCTAGTGTTTTTGTATACATTGTTCTCTGGGACACAAATAACAAGTTTCTCATGAAATGATACCCCTAACCATCCAAAGAGAAAAGGAATTGCCAGAAAAATGGAAATCAGCCAAACCAAAACACAATACAACCGAGCTGCTCTTTTGCTGGGAAATACTTTTCTGTACAGGCTGGGTTTTACGACTTTTATGTATCTATTGAATGCTATCAATGCTATCGTGAATATAGAGGCACATGCCAAAATATGTGATGTTGATCCTGCCACCTGACACCAAACTTGGCCGAATTTCCAAGTTCCCGTAGACAGACTCGCTATCCAGAATGGCATACTTGCCATTGCCATGGCGATGTCAGTCAATGCTAGATTATGAATAAACATGTAAGTCACCTTGTGGAGCCTGGAATCTCTGTAGATAACATAAACAACCAGCATGTTACCAGACATGGCTGAGAGCAGGACGAGAGCTGCCACTGTTACTTCCACTTTAATTTCAGTTCTGGAGCGACCAAGAGGATCATGTAAAGGTGATTCAGACATGTTTTTCAGCTTGCAAGGTTACGTTCGGTTTGGAAAGAAAAGTGTCCACGAAAACCTAGATAAATAATGACAGACAACCTTTGTTATATGTAGCATTTGCATCATGGTGATTCAACTCTTAAGTTAAGCGAGAGCAGGAAATAGTAGATTCAGATTTGAAGTCAAGTTCAGATTGATTATGGTGTCGCATTTCAGTGGTCAATGAATTAACCCGAATTCTCTAGACCCACCTGCGAACGTGGTGGAGGAAAAGCAAAGCAATTTCCCTCTCATAAAAATGCAGCAAATGTATCGCTGATAAACCTCTGTTTATTTAAAAGACTGTCACCTTCAGTTACTTTTTGAAAACACCAAAAAAAGTTTTCTTTTTTTCATGATATTTCGGTGTAATATATATTAATCTCGTTTTATTCAGGCTATATTTTCGAAAAACTCATTTTAAGGAGGTCGATCCTCAAATGTTTTTTTAAGTTTTGAGTACCATACAAAATTGCTCTTTAGTAATGTCGCAGCACTTGGCCTTTAATGTTTCTCAGGATCTCTTTAGTGGACTTCAAAAATCTATTTAAATGTTTATTTAAAACCAGTTATTATAAAGTTCAGATATTACCGGCGCTGTCATTGGTTGAAAGAGCATGCTCTATTAGAGTACAAAACACGGAGGTCAGCTAAAGCCGTCACGCCATTTGCTATTTTGTACCATGTCCGATCACTTACCGGCCTTCTCTCTGGCTTTTTTTTCATTAATTGAAAGTGGAATTTCGAACAAGCTTAAACAAGCAGGCAACTAGCAACAGAAGAACCATGCAAATGTTTGTAACCATGCCCAGCACCGTAATTGACGTTATTAAAACGCGAGCAGAGACGAAAATCCCTAAACACAAAACGAAATGGACTGTGCAAGTTTTGAAGGATTACACACTTATTTAGATTCTAAATAAGGATTTTTGCCAAAGTAGCTCTTTTGGAAATAGGTAGGTCTCGCGCCCGCGATTATGATATTTTTAAACAAAGTTTTGTTTCGTCTGATCACACGTACTTCATCAGGGATTCGACAAGATGAAAAATTGAACTACTAGTATACTGGACGTTTGCAGTACAAACCACGTTCAAATTGGGGTGTGAACAGCAAAAAAAGACAAACAGGAAAATGTTACGCAAATCCGGCGAAACAAATTGAAAATTTTACGAGTTGCAGCACTCATAAATTCATTCATAAATAAAATGTCCACAAATATTTTAATCTCGATGAACCCAAATATAAGATTTGTTGTTTTTCTTGTACTGTAAAAAAAGAGATACTTTTTCTGGATCTGTCACACAGTGAGCCACTTTGAATTCGTTGACGTAAAATAAGAAAATCAGCGAAGTCTTTTCGTTTTTCATCAAGGAATTCTTTGCAACTGGTACAAATTTTATTTTCTATAATTGTTAAGGACCTAGACTCTAATTGTACCAGACTAGTGATCAGTATCTTAGAGTTTTTTCGTTATTCTCCTCTTTTCCCTAATTTTCATGATCACTCTTACACCCACAGGATCAATCTTATACCCGAAGGAATTCTGTTTTTACGTCTTCGATAAACTACGGATCACTCTGAAAAAAAATTAATTTGGGGGAAGGGGAATTTAAAAAACGATTCTTCCCAGATACTCACATTCGTGTAAACCAACATCCAGTGGTGATGGCTGTGTTTTGTTCTGTTTGGTGCATCCTGAAAAATTGTATCTTGCATGAATGGCTAGGAAATAGGTTTCTCGTCTTGAAATGCTCACTTTAGGAGACTAATTTAACTTGTCGTTAAGACAATAACCTGTCTTGATTATAATGGCTCATCTTGCCGTTCTTTTAAACTCTCAATTAGCAAATTTTTCTTTTGTTGTTATCGAAAAATGATCGAATTTTGGTTCTGTTCAGCGACAGTGATAAATTGAGGAAGTAACCAGTAAAATCCTAATCAAATCTTTAATTTTCTATAAAAATTAATTGCAAAATTCACAATATTTAAGAACATCTGTCAAGGATGACAGAGACCACTTCAATTTGGTGAATTACTAACGTTAGTATCTTCATTAGTGATAAGAAAAGGGACATAAAACTTACCGATAAAAAATATCAGAATTACAAATTTGACAGACTTTTGTTTCCAAATTGTCTGAAAATGCATGCAATTTTACGGCGACATCTTATCATCGGCTACCATTTGGGAAATCAATCAAGTAGATGCAAGGTTGTAATTTTCCCCGGTATCGGTTGGAGGTAACAGAACGCAACGAATAGGACCTTGCCAGACAAACCCCTTACATTTTGTGGGAAACTCTAGAACGAAGATCCAAGGCAAAAGAAATGCACTTACATTTGGCAATTTCCTAACTTCATCAATCAAATGATGGTCAATAGATTTCTTTATTGCTTTCGGTTATTAAAACTATCTACGTCACCTCACTTCTCTCCAGCACTTCCACGTCCTTTCATATATAATTTAATTTTGTCTTTAGGATTTAATACCCATTTCATTGGTGAGATGTTGGTTAAGTATAGAGACCTCTAGGTCGTGTGCATCTTAATCGTCGATTATAAGATCATAAAGCGTTTGGTTGTTTTTGCAATGGGAAAGTCTCACGGAACAACATTAAAAGGTCCAAATGGGGCAAATGAAACTGTCGATATGAAAAGATTTATGTTCAGTGCGCTGCATCACTATTAAAAACTAACAATCAAAGCTCTCCAAGTAGCTGATTACGAATTAAGAGGTAAAACAGTTTCCTTCTCGAAAGAGGCAATGTACGGGAACAAATGTCGAATGGGAGTTAAAATTCATATATGTTTATGTCACATTCGTCAATTTTATTTCCTTGCTTTTTTATATCTGTGTATTTGTATATTTTTTTAACGTCAATTCTCTTGGGTGGGCGTCTTGTATGAGTCAGTGTCCCATTCGAGCCTTTTGCTCTTGGGCTTTTATATCCTGTAGTTAATCTTGTTCCTTCATGTAATTATTTTCTCTTCATTTAATGCTAAATAGAGATTTAAAGTTCATATATTACACTATGTATAAGAAGAACGAAATTATTTGTCGAGTTTTCGTTGCCAATACAGCTCCAAGTTGTTAACCTGAAAACTGAAGCCCAAATAACATAAAGCCACACTGCTTGTTTCTCGGAATGCAGCCCTGAATATTAGTTTTGTTTTCTAAATGTCGTTTTAGGATCTTACCGCACTAGCCACAAAGTTATTTATTTAGACAAATTTTCTGGCATCACGAGCAACAAGTATGGATGGTTCGTCGCGACTTGACAAATTTTGGCTGAAGCGGACAAATTTTCAAATGTATAACGCCGACAAAATTTGTCTCGGTAAAATATTATGATCATGATTCCGTTGACGAGAACTCCCGCAAACAGTAAGGTGTATAAGTCGGTCTCAAAAAGCCAAATTTCGGATGATATTACGTCCTTACCCACCCACCCAGTAAGAGTATAGAAAAACAAATGGCAACCATCCAAATGAGAACACGATACAGCCGAGCTGCTCTTTTTTGTGGGAAAACCTTTCTATATAGGCTGCGTTTTAAAACCTTAATGTAACGATTAAAGTCTATCAATGCCAGCGTAAAGAGAGATGCATAAGCCACAATGGACATCACTGAACCTGTCACCCGACACCTCACTCGGGCGAAATTCCAAGTTCCCGTACACAGGCTCGCTATCCACAATGGCATGTCTATCATTGCCAGGGCATGCAAAGTATATCAATCAGTGCCAGATTATGAATGTGGCTGCGAGACAAATGGTGATGGCCATAGTCACTTAGACATCAATTTCAGCTCGACGATCAAGACCTAGAGGATCATGGCAAGGCGATTCAGACATATTAATCAGCTTTTAAGGTTGCAACCTCTTTCGTGAAAAAAAGTTTCTTGTCTGGTGGAACCTGCGTGGTGAAACAATCCCAAGCTACGTTAAATGTAATATCTCTATCACGTTGATTCAACTGTGAAATAAAGCCAAAGTGATAAATTGCAATTTGAGATTTAGAGCAGTTTTCGATTGAATTTCGAAAAATCAAAACCAAAGTAACACAAAGGCCAATCCGAAGAAAAGAAAGTACCATTAAGAGCCAATGAGAGCTCGAAGTAGAACCAAAGAAGCGGGAAAACGTGGACGCCCAATCACAGAGCGTGTTAAAGTAAAAGTAATGTAATACTGGATCAATTTTGTTACTCCATTGAAATCTTGCTATCGCTCATAGGAGCGCGAGCAAGAGGGTCGAGGGTCACATTTAGACCGCCAAATCGTATTTTCAATGCGCGAAAAATGGTCAAGGAAACTTGCTGGGCGCTGAGGTCGATTATTTCAAATTTTAAATACAGCCATCAACCAGAAAACGCAGAAACACTCGCGTCATAGTCACGTTGATAACAAATATCACTAAGACAAATTTGGCCGGAAAAGCGATCGATTTTTTAAGAAAACTATAGCTTACTTCATCCAAGCAATGAAATTTTAAAGTGATCTGAAACCTTCACTCACAGAGCGAACTTCAAGATAATACAAGCCTATAATTAGAGAATTCATAGCACTCATTTTCCTTAGTTTTTTAACGATCTTCGAAATGTTTCAAACATTTAAGCAAAAGAGGCCTTTTTCTGTGTTTAAATTGCAGGTCGTGCGAATGTCCAGCATAAACGAGATTTTTTTGAAAACATCATCGTAAAATACAAGGAAACTATGAACAGTTTGGTTCTAAGTTTTTGTTAACTGCCGCTCATCAGCGGCGAGCTCTTGACGTCTCAATTTGTAAACCTATCGATAATGGCTATTTAGGAACACATTAACTAATCTGAACAAAACAAAAACGAAATATGTCGAAAAAGGTAAACATTATTATTTGATGATTATCTGATTTGATTAAACGGAATATTCATCAAAATAATCAGCTTTTCAGATTTGTATTTCAAATAAATCATTGCCAAAATCGAGGCCTCTTTTCTCATCACTAATAATAGTTTACTGATTACTTGACTTCAAATTTTTCACATTTGAATTTCAAAGAAAAAAAGCTTTCGAGAGAGATCACTAGCAGCTGTGTACAACCAACTCAGTTTTTTAAAATTTTTAAAAATACAATCGCTTTTTTCTTTTCTTTCCCCTTTTTTAACAGCAACAAAACAACATTTCTTTGAGTGAACAGCTATTAAAATCGCGGCAGGACCTTTCATTATCGCCCGGAAAAGTTGTTGTCGCAATCGCAAATTAATTTCTTCAAGAAGTTGTTAGCGATGAGAAACACTACAAACTAAGTTTCCCAAAGATTCTTATAAGAGACGTGTAATTTGGTTTGCGCTGAAAAGAGCCATCGCCTCTGCAGCTCACAGTTGTCAATATGAGTATGAGTAACAGTGAGGACTCGCTTGTTAACTCCTCCAAAGCAGTGTTCTTTTGTCCACGGGATCCGCTGTGTTTTTGGGACTTGGAGAACGAAGTATCCCTTCAGCTGGTAATCGCCATCACTGCAATCGTTGCTCCTTTTACCACTTTTTTGAACACGTTAGTCATCGTCACCATCCAGAAAACAAGAGAGTTACAGACGAACTCCAACATTCTGATCACTAGGTTGGCCATTACTGATCTGTTAGTGGGTGCAGTTTCAACGCCTCTGATCATCACAGTAGATGCATTAATTCTTCGAGGAACTGTACCAGAGAGCATTGTATGCAGTATAAATGAAAGCGCAGCATTTGTGCTGTATGGTGCTTACAGTGCTTCACTTATGCATTTAACTCTAATGGGTTGGGAGAGGTATGTTGCGATTGCAAAACCTATGAAGTACAAAGTTTTGGTGAGAAAACGAAGGATTAAGAGGTATTCAGGAATAGTTTGGATAACAGTTTTCACAGCCTTCGTGTTGCTAAGGACATTACAAGCCATCGCTCTTCCTCATGAATTTTTAATAGTTCTACACCTTATTGAGGGTGTTTTTTGGCTCGTCAACTTTTTGGCGCTGGTGTATTTTTACAGTTTGGTTTATAGCAAAGCAGGAAAACAGAGCCAATGCCAAATCAGCCAAATAACTGCCAAGATCCAAAGCAGAATTGCGTTTACGGCGTGTCTGTTAACCGCTGCCGTTTTCCTTTGTAGCCTTCCTATGGCCTTTTTTGTCGGTACAGTGCAATTTTTGCCCATTCTTCGCGCAAGTTCAGTTTTCCGATGGTCGGAAGTTCCCCTTTACTTAAACTCTCTTTTAAATCCTGTGCTCTATTTTTATAGAAACAGGTGATACAGGAAAGCTGCACTAAAATTGCTAAGATTCCGAATGCCTTTGAAAAATCGGTCAGTGGGTCCTTCTACAAGATGGCGTCGAGATTCTTTTGTGCTTGTAGATGAAAAATACTTTGGTGACACTGAAAGAACTCAATGTCTCCCACGATCACAGTCTTGGGCAGCAGATACACATGGACGGTTGGATATCATGCCCGGAATGCTAAATAAGTCAGCAATGAAGCGAAGATTTTCATATCCACCCTTACTAAGCTATGGAAACTTGCGTGAGGTGATTCAACCTGTTACACGCACTATCACGGTGCAGATTGAGCTTACACCCGGAAGCAAACTGGCGCGGTATTAGAATTCCCACAACTGCAGGGTAGCGAGAGAAAAGTCTTTCGGAGAAAACACCTTTCTTTCATCCAAAAGCGCTCGTCAGAAATTAGCTGAAGTTAAGTCTCAGAGATGCAGTCCAGCCATATGATTTATAAACGATTAAGAGTACTTCCAGATAAAAAATATCCAATAAAAATTTTAAAAAGATCTCTTAACACTTCTTGTCGCACAATCTGTATAAATTTAATCACAACGGCTCGTCTTATTTGAAAATTGCTCTAAAAGCTGCGGGCAATGAACCTGAAAAACTAAGTGAAGCAATCAAGATAAACTCTGGACACAAGTCATCTTGTGTTAAATAAAAATTCAAACTATAACTTTCTCTAAGTAAGTTGGAATTTTCATCCAAAAGTTTGTATTTTGAAGTAAAAACGATGGGACACTAGGTATGTGCGTCTTTGCTCTTGATAATTTTTCTTTACACTTGATTTTTATGTGGCGAAAACATGAAACCTCTTCAAAGTAGGCAAATCTTTGTACTGTAGGAGATGAATGAAAATGACACTTCTCCAAATTTCAGACTTATACATTTTTCAAACTACACAATATTCATAGGAAACTTACGCTAGCGTCTGGAAATCACTAATTATCAAGATGTAGGGAACCTGTAGGATTTTGCCTTAAGATCGATCTCAATTTCCGGCCCGTTTTTTGCCCAAACGACCAAATCACGGCTGCTTTTCATTCTGGAGAATCTACGCATTTATAGCGATTTCATTACTACTTCGCAAGAAAACTAACATCAAAACGATTTTTCAAAATTGAGAGGTGAAATTCAGAGATTCATAACAAATTAAATTCATTCCTTTTTTGGTGGTTGTAAGTTTGTGATCGCTTTGTCTTGCATACATGTCATGAAACGTTTAGTTGTCATGTGAAACTGAGCAGCGTACGATTTGCTTGTGAGCCTAAACTGGGATACTTATTTTTATGTATTAACAGCGCTATCGAGTAGAACTTGATACTTTACTAGTCTGGCGTCAGCTCAGAAAAAAGAGCAGTATGCTCTCTTGCTTGGAGATAATGTCGCCTCAATTTATAGATTACTCTGGATAAGACGAACTTAAGAATCGACCGAATCGAATTCACGAAAAAGCCAAATATCCCATGCAGAAACACAACTGTGTATTTTTCACTGATTACGCGAACTTTTGATCAAGTACCAGAAGTATTCTCTAAGTAAAGTAAAGCAGACTTCTCAAAAGAAGATCGATCGCTTTCGTGAAGTCCTCTAGTAGTTTATCTTTACATCTGTGTCCATCTTGCTATCGCTAATTGATCTGAAATCTGCTAACCCACTGATTGCAAGTGATTTCCTCCTCTCAGCTTTAACAAATGTCCAGTACGTCAAGTTTCTTAGATTCGAATTTTATACAAAATTGAAGATTTTGTGTGAGTGAAACTGATTATTTCGTGAAATCGCGACGGACGGCGACGACTACTTGCTTTTTATTTTGTGATGTCATGCTACAGATTGAAATTGCACCCAGAAAGAAACTGCTTAGGAGAGAGACAAAGATAATAGAATTGAACGAGATCAAACTTTTGATATAAAACCAGCAGTTGGTACGTTTATACACCTTGAAAGATGACAGCGCGATTTCTGTGCGTCTGTAGATGCTAATGAGTGTGTCGATACCGTAAGAGTTCAATGCCTCACACAGTCATAGTCCTGGGCAGCGGACACACGCACGGTCGGTGGAACACTGATCATGCCTGGAGAGCCAGTTGTCGCAATCATGGACAGAATAATGTCATGTCCACTCTTGACAAGGCATAAAAACCATCTTGAAGTGTTTCAACCTTTCACTTGATCTGTAATACTACAGATTGAAATTGCACTTAGATAGAAACTGCTTAGGAGAGAGACAAAGATATTAGAATTGAACGAGATCAAACTTTTAATATAAAACCATGTATCCTCGGCATAAAATCACTTGTTCCACACTATAAAAAGTTAAGGCTCTGGCTTTTTACTTTGTTAATAGAATAAACTTTTCAAAGTTAACAGAGAGTTTTAGATCCAAGATTAGTTACAGTACATCCAACGTCCAATCAGTGCATAAGAGTTATCAGACGTAACCAATGAGAGCTTAAAGTCAAATAAAGCGCGGGAAAATGCTAGTGACCAGGCGGTGATTAGATTCAGTTTCTTTTTTGATTGGTTGAAAGGGGGTCGTGAGTTTCATTTAATACTCATTTCTTATAAGGTGGGAGAAGTGAACAAAACAATTCAATCAAGCGTAGCTAATTTGTGAAACAGCTTTTTATTTTAATTTAAAAAAATAATCAACTGTCCAAATCCCGTACTCGATTCACGAGGAATTTTCACTCTTATTTAGTGCGGTAAGAATAAAATGTAATGTTTATATTTTAAACTCTCTCCCGCATTAAGACAAAATCCTACGAGTTAAATCTATCAGCTTGAAAGTGTAATCTTTATTTCAAACCAAATTCTCCGACATAATTTATAGAGATATCTGTAGCAGGTGGATGGGAAAATTGATAATCAGTGCGTAGCAGTCGGCGGGCTGAACAAATATACTCTACATAATTAGACTTTGAGCCAAATTCTAACTACTTTGAACTTGAAGCTTAAATCAAAGTCTTTGTTAAGTAACGTTCTTTGATCTTAAAACAACCTACTAAAACAACCTTCACTAGATACCAGTACTCTCACTCTCCAGGCAAATGTCAAAGCACCTTTAGTGGTGGACTTAAATTACAACAGAGCAAATATATCAAGCCTGGCGAAGGTGAAGGGGACGCTTAAGCTAAAATGAAATTTTGAGCCTAAGACGAAAAACATCGAAATCCCTATGGCTTTTATGCTCCGTAGAGCTTCGAGCATTTACTAAAGAAAAAAAGAACAGCTACATTGCTGACCTAATTCATGAAAAACTAGTCTGTAGAGTAACGGACACAAATTTCACTTCTTATGTCAAATAGGGGAGCTGGAAAAGGAGATATTTCCTCTTTAGTGAAACACACATTACTCTAGGAGACAAGTTTAAAAAATATACCCTGAAAACACGAACGGCAGGCTAATGATGAAATTATTTCATGCAAGGAAACCCGATTTGAATCAAACCTTCATCTCTGTTTCTGTTTTAATCCGTATCAGCTTCAGTTATCTCCTCAATCTTGCTATTTGCATTCCCTTTGTTTTGCGGGGAAAATGTCATTTCAGTCTCGTTCTTTCAGCTTTATTAATCATAAAATCAAATTCAAAACACACCGGTATGTTTCTATATCCAGAAATTTCAGATGTTCATCCTTGATGGTTTTTAAAAGCTAAGGCTCTTCCGCATTAACTTTCTTAACGATTCGATTCATTTGTACGAGGGCATTTCAAAGGAGTTTTGCGGTAAGTTTAAAACTACATTTTCTTCACTATTTCACAAGGCGATTTAAGGTAGCTGAAGTGGAGAATGAAAGGATTTGCAAATGCTGACTGATATATAATTACAAGAGATATGAGAGATTTGTGAGTGTCAACTGAGTGTTTTTACAGTTTTCTACGTCATCACCCACTAATTCATTACCATTCTACGGGAAACTTTTAAGACAAAGTAAGGTCACTCTATGCACAAGAAAACTGAGTTTCAAATGTTTCGAAATTTTTCTTCTATCGGAATGGGTTTCTACATATAATAAGCTATATATTTACGCAAAAGAAAATTTCGTGTTGTAGGCACTTTAAACTGCAGGTCGTGCGAATGTCGAGCAATAAATAGATTTGTTTTAAAACATCATCGAAAAAGACGAGGAAACTGAGGGCTATTAACCGTCTGGTTCTGAGTTTGTGTTATCTTCCCTTCATTAGCTGCGAGCTCTTGACGTCTCAACTTTGCAAACCTATTTGATAATGGCTATTTAGGGACACATTTAGTTACCTGAATAAAACAAAAACGAAATTCGCTGAAAAAAATAAATCTTATTAATTGATTTGATTATGTGGAATATTCGTCGAAAAATCAGCCTTTCAGATTTCTATTTCAGATATATCATTGCCAAAATCGAGGCCTTTTTCCTCATCACTAATAGAAACTTTAGCCTCAATAATTCACAAATTGCATTTTGACTTTGGATTTTTCGAATTTAAATTTCATAGAAAATTAAAAGCTTTAGAAAGAGATCACTGACAACTGTATACAACCAAACTCAGTATAAGAAAGATGGTAAGTTTAGAGCTCGGTAAAGAAATAGTGAGAAATATTTTTTTCGTCTTCTAACGAGTGTGAGACAAAGTAAAATTTCTGAGTTCCCATGAGGACTCAGAATCCTCATGAAAACTCAGAATTTTTTCTTTGTCCCTTCTTTCAACATTTCTTTAATTGAACACTTATTAAAATCGCGTCAAGACCTTTTATTATCGTCCGGAAAGTTGTTATCGTAATCGCAAATCAATCTCTTCAATAGGTTGTTCAAGATGAGAAGCACTTACAACATAGTATCTCAGAATATCTTATAAGGAACGTGCTATTTGGTTTGCGCTGAAATAGCCATCGCCTCTGCAGGTCACAGTTGTCAACATGAGTGTGAGTAACAGTGAGGACTCGTTTGTTACCTCCTCCAAAGCAGTGTTCTTTTCTCCAAATGATCCGCTGTTTGTTTGGGACTTGGAAAACAAAGTATCCCTTCAGCTGATAATCGCCATCACTGCAATCGTTGCTCCTTTTACCACTTTTTTGAACATATTAGTCATCGTCACCATCCAGAAAACAAGAGAGTTACAGACGAACTCCAGCATTCTGATCTCTAGTTTGGCCATTACTGATCTGTTAGTGGGTGCAGTTTCAACGCCTCTGATCATCACAGTAGATGCATTAATTCTTCGAGGAACTGTACCAGAGAGCATTGTATGCAGTATAAATGAAAGCGCAGTATTTGTGCAGTACATTGCCTACGGTGCTTCATATATGCATTTAATTCTAATGGGTTGGGAGAGGTATATTGCGATTGCAAAACCAACGAAGTACAAAGTTTTGGTAAGAAAACAAAGGATAAAGAGGTATTCAGGAATAATTTGGATAACAATTGTCATACTCTACCTGTTGGTAATGACATTACAAGCCATCGCTCTTCCTCATGAATTCGTATTAGTTCTACTCTTTATTGAAGGTGTTGTTTGGCTCGTCGGCTTTATGACGCTAGTGTATTTTTACAGTATGGTTTATAGCAAAGCACGAAAACAGAGCCGAAGCCAAATCAGCCAAATCAGCCAAATAACTGCAAAGATCCAAAGCAGAATTGCGTTTACGGCGTTTCTGTTAACCGCTTCCGTTTTCATTTTTAGCCTTCCTATCCCCGTTGTTATCGCTACAGTGCAATTTTGGCCCATTCTTCGCGCTAATTCAGTTTTCCGATGGTCAGAAGTTTCCAATTTCTTAAACTCTCTTTTAAATCCTGTGCTCTATTTTTATAGAAACAGGCGATACAGAAAAGCTGCACTTAAACTGCTAAGATTCCGAATGCCTTTGCAAACTCAGTCAGTGGGTCCTTGTACAAGATGGTGTCGAGATTCCTTTGTGCCTGTAGATGAAAAATACGTTTGTGACACTGAAAGAACTCAATGTCTCCCACGCTCACAGTCTTGGGCAGCGGATACACACGGACGCTTGAGTATCATGCCCGGAATGCAGAATAAGTCAGCAATGGAGCGAAGATTTTCATGTCCACCCTTACTAAGCTATGGTAACTTGGGTGAAGTAATTCAACCTGTTACACAAATTATCACAGTGCAGACTGAACTTACACCCAGAAACAAACTGGCGAGGAGTGACGAAAAACAAGATTAGAACTCCTACAGCTGCACCGTAGCGAGAGAAAAGTCTTTCAAAGAAAACACCTTTCTTTTTCCACAAGCCCTCGGCAGAAATAAGCTAAAGTTAAGTCTCAGAGATGCAAATCCGGCCATATGAGTTTTAACGATTAAGAGTGCTTCCAGAAAAAAATATCCAATAAAAATTTTAAAAGATGTGTTAAGACTTACTGTCATACAATCGGTATAAATTTAATTTCAACGGCTCTTGGTAACAGTAAGAAAAAGCACCGAGAGGCGGTGACACATTAAAGAAAACAAGGAAAGTGATGAGTTTTCTAGAGAAAAAATAACACAGCGAAAGGATAAAAAACTTATTTAGTCCCTAATATTAACTAACATTTGAAAATTGCTCTAAAAAATGCGGGCAATGAACCTGGAAAATTAAGAGTAGCATTCAAAATAAACTCTGGAAACAAGTCATCTTTTTATAAAATAATTCAAATAGTACGCGCGCTCTGATTGGCCATAAAACCATTTTACATGAGCGTATGTAAACACGGTTTTCGTTCCTCTTTCATTAGTTATTTTATAAAAGAAATGTAAAATGGTTTCCGTGTTTACTCGATAAGCTGGAAACCACTCCACTTCGCGCCGTGGTTTCCTACGCTTATCCGTGTTCTCCCAACCTCCCGCGTGTTTACATCAGGCTATGTAAACACGGAAACCATTTTACATTTCTTCATCAAAGTATAACTTTCTCTGAGTTGTTTTTTTCAAGTTCATCAGTTGGAATTTTCATCCATAAATTTTTATTTTGAAGTAAAAGCGATGGGACCTTAATAATTTTTCTTTAAACATGATTTTCATGTGGCGAAAGCATGAAACCTCTTCAAAGTACGCAAATGTTAGCACTGTAGGAAATAAATAAAAAAAAAGGTTTCCCAAATTTCAGGCCTATGCATTTTGCAAACTACACAGTATTAGTATGAAATTTACGCTGGTATCTGAAAATCACTAAGTATCAAGATGCATGGAACCTATAAGATTTTCCCCTAAGATCGATATCAATTTCCGGACCATTTTTTACCCAAACGTCCAAATAATGGCTGCTTTTCATTCTGAAGAATCTACGAATTTACAGCGTTCTCACTAATAATTCAAAGGAAAACTAACATCAAAATGAATTTTCAAAATTGAGAGGCGAAACTCAGAGATTTACAAAAAAATTTAGTCTTTTTTTGCTGGTTGTAAGTTTGTGATCGCTTTGTCTTGCATACATGTCATGAAACGTTTAGTTGTCATGTGAAACTGAGCAGCGCACGATTTGTTTGTGAGCCTAAACTGGGATACTTATTTTCATTTATTAACAGCACTGTTAGGTAGAACTTGATACTCTACTAGTTTGGCGTCAGTTCAGAAAAAGAGCTAGGCTCTCTTGCTTGGAGATAATGTGCCTCCATTCATAGATCACTCTGATAAGAGTAACCTAAGGTCGACGGAATCGAATTCACGAAAAAAGGCAAATATCCCATGCAGAAACACAACTGTGTGCATTTTTCACTGCTTACGCGAATTTTTGATCAAGTACCTGAAGTATTCTCTGAATAAAGTAAAACAGACTTCTCAAAAGAAGATCGATCGCTTTCGTGAAGTCCTCCAGATTTGTATTGTAAATAGTTTATCTTTACATCTGTGTCCATCTTGCTATCCTTAATTGATCTGAAATCTGCTAACCCACTGATTGCAAGTGATTTCCTCTTCTCAGCCTTAACAGATGTCTAGTACGTCAAGTTTCTTAGATTTGAGTTTTATCAAAATTAAAGATATACTTGTGGTTCTCCTAATTATTTCCTTAAATCGCGACGGACGGCGACGAGTGTTTGCTTTTCATTTTTAGTATCAAGAACCTTTTAACTGTCAGCAATAACTAACTAAACTAAACATTGTAGGAGTTACCATAGATATATTCCGAACTGACAAGCTTAAATCCCAGCAAAATTTATCACACTAGAAAAAGTTAAGGTTCTTGCGTTTGACTGTGTAAATAGGAATAAACTTTTTAATGAGAGTTGAGATCCAAGACTAGTTATAGTATAAGCAACAGTCAATCAGTGCACAGAGAGTTATCACACGTGATCAATGAGAGCTCAAAGTCAAATGAAGCGCGGGAAAATGAGAGTGACCATGCGGTGATTAGTTTCAGTTTCATTTTTGATTAGTTGAAAGGGAGGTCGTGAGAACACGCATTTCTTTTAAGGCGGGAGAAGTGAACAAGGCAATTCACTCAAGCTTAGCTAATCTGTCAAACCTTTTTTTTTTTAATTTAAAAATAATCATCTGTCAGATCCCGTACTCGATTCACAAGGAATTTTCACTCTACTTACTGCAGTTAGAATAAAATCATATTGTTTATATTTTAAACTCTCAGTCTCGTGTTAAGACAAAATCCTGAGAGTTAAATCTATCAGCTTGGAAGTGTAATCTTTATATGTAAAACCAAATTCTCCGACATAGTTTATAGAGATATTTGTAACAAGTGGAAGGGAAAATTGATAAAGAGTGCTTAGCAGTCAGCGGGCTGTACAAACATACCCTACATAATTAGACTTTGAGCCAAATTCGAACTACTTTGAACTTGAAGCTTAAATCAAAGTCTTTGTTAAGTAACGTTCTTTGAACTTAACTGGGCACCTTTCACTAGATATCGATTTTCTCACTCTACAGGCAAACGACAAAGCACCTTTGGTGGTGGACTTAAATTACAACAGAGCAAATAAATCAAGCCTGGCGAAAGTTAGAAAGAAGTTTTGGAGCTAAAACGAAAAAGGCCCAAATTCTTACGCTTTTATACTCCGTAAAGCTTCCAGTATTTATCAACATTCCTATAACACCCTCTCTTCCTTACAGCTCCTCCTCTTAACCTACCTTCTCCTCTAACACCCTCTCTTCTTACAGCTCCTCCTCTTACCTACCTTCTCCTCTATCACCCTCTCGTCCTTACAGCTCCTCCTTTTACCTACCTTCTCATCTAACACCCTCTCTTCTTTACTGCTTCTCTTTCTACCTACCTACCTCGCAACTTCTATTTCTTCTTTACAACTTGAGTACGATCTTTCACAACTCTGGGTAGAGGTTGACGAAAGTGGGTACATATCGCTATCAGATATTACTTCAAGAGTATCTTAACGCTGACTGATACAAAATTACAAGAGATATGAGAGATTTATAAGTTGTCAACTGAGGGTTTCCACAGTTTTCTACGTCATCACCCGCTAACTCGTTATCAGTCTAGAGGACACTTTTAAGACAAAATAACGTCACTCTAGGCCCCAAAAAACGGAGTTTCAAATGTTTTGAAAATTTTTCTTCTATCGGAATTGATTTCTACATATGATAAGCTATGTATTTAAGCAAAAAAAATTTTTCGTGTTGTAGGCACTTTAAATTTTAGGTCGTGCGAATGTCGAGCACTAACTAGATTTGTTTGAAAACATCATCGGAAAAGACGAGGAAACTAAAGGCTATTAACCGTCTGGTTCTGAGTTTGTGTTATCTTCCCTTCATTAGCTGCGAGCTCTTGACGTCTCAATTTGCAAACCAATTTGATAATGGCTATTTAGCGACACATTAAGCTATCTGAATAAAACAAAAACGAAATTCGCCGAAAAAAGTAAATAGTTTACTAATTGATTTGATTAAGTGGAATATTCGTCGAAAATCAGCTTTTCAGATTTCTGTTTCAGATATATCATTGCCAAAATCGGGGCCTTTTTTTCATCAATAATAGAAATTTTAGCGTTAATAATTTACAAACTGCATTTTGACTCGGATTTTTTTAATTTAAATCTCATAGAAAATTAAAAGCTTTCGAAAGAGATCAATGAAACTGTGTACAACCTAACTCAATATTTCAAAGTTCAATCGCTTTTTCACAGCAACAAAACAACATTTCTTTGTAAATAGAACACGAAAGATGGTAAGTTTAGAGCTCGGTAAAGAAACAATGAGAGATAAAAATTTCTGAGTCCCCGTCAGGATTCAGAATCCTTATGGGAACTCAAAATCTTTTCTTTGTCCAACGCTCGCCACGAGACGAAAAACTATCTTTTAACATTTCTTTGATGGAACACTTATTAAAACGCGTCAAGGCCTTTCATTATCGTTCGGAAAGTTGTTATCGTAATCGCAAATCAATCTCCTCAAGAATTTATTCAAGATGAGAAGCACTTAAAACTTAGTTTCCTAGAATATCTTATAAGGAACGTGCTATTTGGTTTGCGCTGAAAGAGCCATCGCCTTTGCAGGTCACAGTTGTCAACATGAGTGTGAGTAACAGTGGGGACTCGTTTGTTACCTCCTCCAAAGCAGTGTTCTTTTGTCCAAGGGATCCACTATTTGTTTGGGACTTGGAGAACAAAATATCCCTTCAGCTGGCAATCACCATCACTGCAATCGCTGCTCCTTTTACCACTTTTTTGAACACATTAGTCTTCGTCACCATCCAGAAAACAAGACAGTTACAGACAAACTCCAACATTCTGATCTCTAGTTTGGCCATTACTGATCTGTTGGTGGGTGCAGTTTCAACGCCTCTGATCATCACAGTAGATGCATTGATTCTTCGAGGAACTGTACCAGAGAGTATTGTATGCAAAATAAATCACAGTGCAGCATTTGTGCAGTACATTGCTTACAGTGCTTCATATATGCATTTAATTCTAATGGGTTGGGAGAGGTATGTTGCGATTGCAAAACCTATGAAGTACAAAGTTTTGGTGAGAAAAGGAAGGATGCAGAGGTATTCAGGAATAGTCTGGATTACAGTTATTATAGGCTACGTGTTGGTGATGACATTACAAGCCTTCGCTCTTCCTCATGAATTGTTATTCGCTCTATACTTTATTGAAGGTGTTGTTTGGCTCATCGGCTTTATGGCGTTGGTGTATTTTTACAGTATGGTTTATAGCAAAGCACGAAAACAGAGCCGAAGCCAAATCAGCCAAATAACTGCCAAGATTCAAAACAGAATTGCGT